TCACCAAACCATTATTATATGAAATGTTCAAGGATCTTATTTAGGAAAAGGAAGATCAAAACTATGAACAATAAAATGGCCATAAATATATACTATCAACAATTAAATCTAAAAAACAAACTAAGTTCCCTGGCAGGTGTGGCTCAGTGGATTGAGCATCAGCCTGCAAACCAAAAGATCACTGGCTGAATTCCCTGTCAGGGTTCATGCCTGGGTTGCAGCCCAGGTCCCAGGTTGGAGGCATGCAAGAGGCAGCCGATTGATGTGTCTCTCACTCATCGATGGTTCCTCCCTCTCTTCCTCCCTTCCCTTCCTCTCCCTCCAAAAATAAATAAATGATATACTTTTTAAAAAAAACTAAATGCATAAGAACAGAGACAGAATCATGGATACAGAGAGCATTTTGTTGGTTGCCAGATAGGAGGGCGGTTTGGGGGAATGGGTGAAGAGGTGAGGGGATTAAGTAGTATAAATAGGTAGGTACAGAATAGCTATGGGGATGTAAAACACAGTATAGGACAGAGTAGCCAAAGAACTTATATGCATGACCCATGGACAGGAACAAAGGTGAAGGGATTGTCTGAGGGAGTCAGGGGTACTGGGTGGAGAGGGGCTAAGGGGGAAAAATTGGGACAACTGTAATAGCACAATCAATAAAATATTATTTAAAAATAAAAGAAAAAATAAAAGAGAAAAATAAAGACAACACACACAATAGAAAAAACTATTTGCAAATTAGATATCTGGTAAGAGACTGACCATATAAAGAACACTTACAACTCAACAATAAAAAGTCAAATAACCCAGTCAAAAACTGAGCCAAGGATCTGAACAGACATTTCTCCAAAGATAAATAACCAATAATCGCATGAAAAGTTTAGCCATTAGGGAAATGCAAATCAAAGCTATAGTGATATGCAACATCACATCTAGAATGGCTAAAATAAAAAAGACAATAGTAGCTGCTGACAAGGATATGAAGAAACTGGAACCTTCATATATTGCTGATTGGAAGGTAAAATGGTACAGACATTCTGAAAAACAGTTTGACAGTTTCCCGAAATGTTAAACACAGAGTTACCCTATGACCTAGAAATTCCACTCCTAAGTATACACGCCAGAGAAATGAAAACATTTGCCCACCAAAAAACTAGTACACAAATTATTCATAGCATTGTTCGTAACAGTCCCAACATGGAAACGACCCAAATGTCCATCACTTGATGAATAAATCCATACAATGGAACACTTATTCAGCAACGAAAAGAAATGAAGTATTGATACAATCTACCACAAAGATGAACCCTGAAAACATTATGCTTGGTCACAAAGAAACACAAACTGTATGATTCCATTTACACAAAAGTCCAGAATAGGCAAACCCAAAAATACAGCAAGTACGGTGATTGCCTAGGGAGGAAGCGGAGACAGAATGAAAAGTGACTGCTACTGGGGATAGGGTTTCTTTTTGGAGTGATGGAACTTTTCCAGAATTAAATTATGGCGATTTTTGCACAACAGTGAGTATAATAAAAACCACTGAATTGTACACTTTAAATGGGTGAACTATATGGTATATGAATTGTATCTGAATAAAGCTATTTTTAAAAGTATGGTATTTCAATGTTAAACAGTTTGTATGATAATGAAAGGAAATGAGACTTTGGGTGATAAGCACACAATATGGTACAGATAACAAATTATAATGTACATCTGAAATTTATAGAATGTTATTAACCAATGTTACTTCAATAAATTTATTTTTTAAGTTTAAAAAGAAAATCTGAAACAGCAATTAAAAATGAATGTTAACTGCTATCATCTAGAGAGAAATTGAAGAAATGACCTACTGGATAAGCAATATGAGAGAAAACTAAAAATACAGACATGGAATTTGAAAACTGAAATATGGAGCTATTGTGCATCAGTGATTTGCAATCAATATTTTAGCATTAGTGCTACAAATTGGAATCAATATTAATACTTTAAAAAAAGACAGCCTCTACCATCTTACAGGCCTCTTTCCTCATCTGCAAAAATCGAGACTTGCAACTAACAAAATAATTTTTAAGACAGAGAAGAAAGAAATGGCTGCTTTCCCGAAAGATTTTGCTAGGCAACAGCCTCTATATGCATGATACACCTGGGCCTTTTAGGATTACAATGAAAAAGGAGAGGTACTCCCTTGTGATATATGGGAGCTGACTAACATTACATGATTGTTTGAGATTAAAATAAGGACAGTTATATAATGGAAAAGTCAAGCCACTGTGGCTCCTCAGCAAAAAAGAATAAGACTAGAAGAATAATTTGGTACACCAGGAAAAGAAAGTAAGTGATGATTCACAAGTAGTAGTTGGCAAAGGAAAGAGTCTTGTGAGGCAAAAGTAGCCAGGCGGATTTTTCTGAAGAGCAAAAATTTGGGGGATGGACATACTAATGTTATATCTGCTATCGATTTACTGTTACTCTCTGTTCTTTCATTCCTCTTCGGTTACAAAACCTAACTCAGGAACAGCTAAGAATTGGGTGCCTTAAAAATATGCTACCTCAAAAGATGAAATAAAGAGGGAAGACTATGAAGGGGGGTAGAGGAGTTTGAGATTTACAGTGAAGGGTCAAGTTAGGGAAGAGAGCCTACTGCTTTAATCAAGCCTGTTCAATGGTTGTGATGGAAAAACGGGACATTATGATGATGGAAATGCATCCAGGGCAAAGCATGGGATCTGAAACATCAAGTCTGTGCATGCTGCTGTCTGAATGAGATTTTTAAAAAGATGAGATCATCAGCGATGGAATGGGCAGGGACATGCTACACTAAAGACAAAGACAGTGGATGCTACTTGCATTTTAGAATGTTCAAGTGATTGCATCTTGGGTCTGATAGTAGGTTTAGGGTTCTCTGCCAAAGACGCAGGGAGTCAGGAAAAGCAACTAGAACTGATAGGATGTTCGCAGAGGTTCTCAAACCTCCCCCTCCACCTTTTTTTTACTATGTCCATTTAGGGCAAAAGATCCCTCAATTAAACTACCCCTATAAACCCCCACTTCCCAGTGAGAAAAGAACTCAGTAGAACTCAGTGATAACAATGAAGCAAATTTTAGGAAGAATAAGTAACTTGTATTCGAACCATAATGCACATATTCTTATATTAAGACACTTGAAAATTATAGGCCAAAATTCAGTTGATAAAAATATGCACTACTGTTTGGTGGAGGGTTAACATAATAAATCACAACAAACTAAACTGATAGCACCGAATTAAAACCATTTATTCTATCAGCCAAGAACTACAGCAGTGGAAAACCACAACCAACTCAAGCCAACACTGATGGTGTCTGAGAAAGAATTCCTCCTAAAAACTCTGGTAATCCTAACTGCTCCAGTTTGAACTTTGCTTGCCTGCCAATTGGAGCTCAGCAGCCAAATTTCTTAGTAGAATACTGAAACAGCATGCTCAGTAGCCCTAGTAACATCTTGTTTTATGAGAACAAAATATTAATAACCATTAATAATGCACTCATAATACTAGTAAGTAGCCTTTGGTTTTTTTCTAAAAGATAATGATAGAGGATCATTTACCCTAAAGAGCTCAAGTCAGGGGATAAAGAGAGGACCATTATGGTCACGATCATAATTCACTAGCAAACTACTACGTATTGTCATGTTCAAGGATACATAGCTCATTGTGCTAACAATGTGCTCTGGAGAAGGAAGCTGTGCAGGTGGAGATGTGGAGTAAAGTCTCCAGCTTGTCCCTCCTTCAAACACTCTTTCATGAGGCAACTCTCCCCATTAAAAAAAAAAAAAAAAAGGCAGTAGTACTGTACTCTTCTTTGAAGGGAGAAGCAGTAACCCAAGACTGTGTACGGCGGGTAAGACAATTATCTATCTGTTGGCTACATGGAGATCAGAGGATACCAGAAGAAGGAGGAAGATGCGTTAGTTCTAGGGCTCTAGTAAACTGAGGAAAAGGGGGAAGGTAGCTGGGAATTGGGCTCTGTGAGTAATTAACAAAACCAGTACAGGTGGGTGGTAATTCCAATTGAGGCAGAACAGCAGTGGTGCAGAACACAGACCCTGGATTCAGACTGCCGGGGTAGGAACCTCAACTCCCCAACTTTACTTTCTCAGTAACCTCGGGCAAGTCACTTAACCTCTTTGTGCCTCATCTATAAAACGATGGTAACAATAGTACCTGACAGGATTGTTTTGCGGTTTGAGTAAGTTACATTTGTAAACTGCTTGATACAATGTCTTTCACTGTATAGTAAATGATACCTAAGTTTTGTTAAGTAAATTGAAGTAGGTGGGGGGTTTCTCTTGACATCTCCAAATAAATGGAGGTGTCGGGGCAAAGCAACGGAGGCGGGGCTGAGAGGCGGTAACTTGCTCTGGGCACTGACACCACCGCAGAGCTGCAGCTTTGGGAGAGGTCGCCCTACGGATTGAGTTACGGCAGCACTCGCTCCCGGGAGAGGGACACGGGTTGAGGGAAACTTCCTTCCAGGCCTAGGATTTCCAGGAACTCATTTCTGAGAAGTGGTTGTGACTTTAAGGAGGCAAGAGTTTAATTGCCGAGCAACAGATCACGGCGGGGAATTCTGTGCTGTCTGAAGAGCAGGGCTTCTGTTCAGGGCAGGACACGGCTGGAGTCGGAGGGAGAGAAGAAGGGTGCTGTCCTCTGGGAAAGACCTGATAAAAACCACCGTCCGCCCGGCGCGCTCGCAGGGAGAACGAAAGCCGCCCCAGCCCGGAGGGCGGCAGGAGCTGCCTTCAGGGGGACCGGGCTGTGGAGGACGGCGATCGGGAAAGGACCCCACGTCGGGGCTGCGGAGGGGGACCCGCCTCGCCGAGGGTGGAGGTCGCTCGCCCCGCTCTCCAAGGGAGGGGCCCCCCGCCCTGGCCCTGCGGGCAGCTGGCCAGACGCACGGCCCGAGGGACTGGCCCCCCTGTCCCGCTCGTGCCGGCCCGTGGGTAACCCCGGCCCCCGGGGTACCTGAGCGTGGGCCCGATGCAGGCCGTGTCGGTGCTCTCGATCTCCCGCAGGATCCGCTCGTGCTCCGCCGCTGTCTCCAGACTCTCCGCCTCCGCCATCTTACCCCGCTCCATAGACTGGGGCGCCCGGCAGCCCGTCGCCTCCCTCGGCGGCTCCGCTCACCTCACACTCCCACTCCCACCCCAGGTTCCAGAGCCTCCCCAGCCTCCAGCCACCCGCAGGACGACCCCTCCCTCGGCCCTGGCACGCCCCCTAGCGTCACCGCGTCCGCCGGCATTCCGCGCAACAGCCTCTGGGATTCGTAGTTCTCTAGGAAGTGTTGGGAAGGATTCCGCTCGTGTATTCATCAAATCCACAAATTGTGGAATTTCCACAAAGTGTGGAAAACTGCACTTTAAGCCAGGAACAAGTAACGACTGCCTATGCTACAGTAATCTAGTCAAACAATGGCCCTAATCCTACAAATTGTTGTTTAAGACCCTTGCCACAAAGCTCAAAATGCTTTTCAGGTTCGAATAATAAGGAAGGACTAAGTAGGTTTCTGTGGTTGGGAGTGCGGAGAGAAAAAGCTAAAGAAACCCAAACGAAGAGATACGGCAGAATGTGGCTGTAAGCCAGTTCAGAGAATCAAGCCCAGGGATCACTTGTGGTTGCAAAGAATTCATAGACTGGGTCACGAGATTTAAAGGGTGTGCCTGGAAGGTATGAGGAGATCTCACAAAACCAGCAAGAAATTTATTTGCACTATGTAGAGAAGTAGCAGTAAGAGGTGGTACTTGGAGAGAAATGCTGGGCTGAGAAATTGTACTTTATTCTAATGCCCCCCTGAACCAATGACCAACGATATCAGAAGCACCTAGAAACTTGTTTTTAATACAGACTACAGGTGCTACATCTGGACATGCTGGTCCGCACATCGGCATTTCATAAACTCCCCAGATTAGAATTTAAAAATCATATTTATTGATCAGTGCTTGAATTTTTACAAAATAAATGGCAATCCACTAAAGATTTTTAAGAAGAGTGACACAATCAGAACCTTGGCATTAAGAAATTTGATCAAAAGCAGTGTGCAAGGTGGGCAGAAATAGACAATTTGCAGACAGGGAAATGCTATAGAAAATTTTAAGACCTAAACCAGGGAAGTGGCAATAAAAATAAAAAGGAATGGACCAACAGGAAATACATTTAAAAGCCAAATTGGCATGATTTATTACATATGGGGAAGGAGGACTTTGGGGATTACTCCAAGGTTTGGAGCAGAGTAAGTAAGAGAATTGTGTTGCCATCAACAACGAAAACTAAAAGTCATGTAAGAACTAAACTAGAAGTTGAGGCTAAATAATTTGTACTACAGTCACACCATGGGTCACTATGCAACTGTTGAAGAGAACGAGAAAAGACTCTATAATCAGATAGGAAACTCTCTTCAAATTGTAGTATTAAGTGAAAAAGCAAGACATGAAACAGTATGTATAGTAGGTTTTCATTTATTTTTTTAACATTTTTTATTGTCGTTCAAGTACAGTCTTCTGCCTTTTCCCCCATCATTTGTTTTATTAAAATAACATTTATATATTTACATACACATAAAAATTACATACATAGAATGTTTATTAAAGGATCCTCCAGAGACTGTTCACCGTAGTGGCAGCCAGGAGAGGGATTGGAAGCAAGGGGCCTGAAGTAGGAGGAAGGTAATTTTAAATCGTGTGTGTACTTTTGGAATTCTTTCCCTTGTGCATGTATTGCTTTCTCAATAAAAACAGTCAGTATTAAATAAAATTAATTTTAAAAATAAACAAACCAATAGTGAAGAGAATGAATGGGCTGCAAGTCCTGGTTTGCCAGGAAGTTAGCAAGTTGCTCGATATGTTTGCATCTGGACCATCTCCGGCCATCCTCATTTTACTTCATCACTCAGGTTTAAACAATTCCACATGGATGTAGGAGGGGTACAGAGAGCATGGAGCCTTTCCTTTTTCTGAAGACCTTTTTAAATACATGGCAGAGTCCCTTCAGGTGCCCATTTTAGCATCTTACTCAACAAAAAACTTTTAGTCCATCTCAGGAAGCAGACTAGTGTAGAGACCAGATATGTATAGAAGTGGTTAAACTAGCTTCTGCTACTTTCAGCAGTTTTTTGTTTTTGTTTTTGTTTTAGCCCCCAGAGGCCAGAGATCTCACAGCTTACCACCAAATGTGTGTGAGTCTGGAATGACTCCAGTAGGGAAGTTCCAGGGAAGATGGCCTGCCCTCTAAATACAGAGGATGTAAGGTCAGTGTGGGATGGTCAAAAAAAAGCACTAGCCTAAGAGTCAGGGGCCTTTGATACATTTCCAGCATGAGTGATTAAAACGTTGGGCACTTTCTGTGCGCCAGGCACAGACACAAAGAAAGCACTTTACATGTATCATTAAATCCTTACAACAATCCTTCACAGTAGATAATATGTATCTCATTTTTCAAATGAGGCCATTGAGACAATTGGTAATACCTCAAGTCTCACATCTAGAAAATGATGAAGCTGATATTCAAATCCAGGTCCATCTGATCCAAAGGCCCATTTCCTGCTCATTGGGCTACATTGTCCCACCCATACCCTCCATTGCCAATTTATTGTGTTAGTTAAGCTAATCATTCTACCATTAAACATCTGCTTCTACATGAGTGTAATTGATTATATCACTTCTCAGACTCCTTCTAAATCACTTTGAAGACCGCTTCTCAGAACAATCTTTCCACTTAATCTAAATGCACTGATTGTTTTCTTCTCCTGCATCCATAGATTTATAGTGTCAACGCTCTCACTACTCCGCGTTGCCACTTCTACACTGTTACTCCAGCACCCTGATTCCTCAACCCCTCCCTGAAATCTAGAGCATCAGGTTGTGCTGTGGTCATCTGCTAATGCTCACCATGCTCCTCAGAAATCTCACCACTGGGCTCACAGTTTTCCTCTCCACCTCATTCTCTGCCATCATCCTGAGGCACTTCAACATCCACTTGGATACCACACCCAACACTCTGACCTCACATGTCCCCACTACCCAGCCACGTTCCTCACCCCACACAGGCACTGCGTGCATTCCTGGCCACACTTCTCCCCTGCCGTTCTGTGAACCCTGCTTTACCCCCAAAGACTAAAAACTCTGAAACTCCTCTCTCTGCTTTTTTTTCATACACCTCTCCTCTGCCTAATTTCTCTGGGTCCCACACATTATTCTAATTCCAATCTTCACCTCTGATTTCTATGTAATCTATTGGCACCTTTTCTCTTTTATCCTGGATTATTTTTATACCCAAGCTTCCAATCAGAGAGATCTGAGTTTTATTCCTGGCTTTTCCATTAATCAGCAGATGAATTTGGAAGTTATGTGGCTTCCTTCTAGTGCAGTGTTCTTATATATAAAATAGTGTTCATAGTATATACCTTAGGCAGTTGTAAGAATTGGAAGTCATTAATGTAAGGGGCCCAGCACAGGCGGAAGAAATGCTAGCTCCTGTGCACTGCGTGTACTCCCATGAGTCATTAATTTGGCTAAACTTTCTCTAACTCTTTAGCTTCCTTTTATATCTTGATCATTGCCATGCCTACCTTGCCAATTTCTCTCCCTTCTACTGTAATGGAGAAAGAAAACTGTGACCTGACAACTGGCATCACAGCACATTAGTGTTGCTCTCTATCCTTTGGGCCCCAAGGGTGGCTTACCCATTCATTCCCTGACTGCTGTTCCTGCTCACAGCACCCACTTAAAGTCCTTTGCTCCCTACTGAAGACCCCTGCCCTGCTGCCATCCTTCTCACTCCTGGAAGATACTTTTGCATTGGAAGGACCACCATCTGTTATTAAAAGCCTACCTCCCCTCCCCTTCACCATCTTTTCATCCAACTCTTCTTCATCTCCTCTGTAAGATGGATGGGGATCCCTGTCACTTTCTAAAGTCAACCTCTCCTCTGGGAACATTTCCCACAGTTAGCTTTCTTCCCTCTTACAGTTCTAGTCTTTCCTTCTTTACTTTATCTTGGTCAGTAAAAATGGCCAACAGGCACACAAAAAAGATATTAAATATAACTATTCATCAAGAAAATGCAAATCAAAACCACAGTGAGATATGACTTCACACCTGTGAAAATGTCTATCAGTAAAAAGACAAATCATGAGTCTTGTCAAAGATAAAAGAATTGACAAGGATGTGGAGAAAAGGGAACCCTAGTGCATGGTTTGTGGGATAATAAATTGGTGCAGCCACTATGGAAAATAGTGTAGAGATTCCTCAGAAAATTAAAAACTACCATATAATGGAACTACCATATACCGTAGCAATCTCACCTCTGGGTGTTTATCCAAAGAAAATTGAAGACAGGATCTCAAAGAGACGATCTGCACCCCCACATTCACTGCAGCATTCATTGCTCACAGTAGCCCAGACATGGAAGCAACCTAAATGCCCAAATACAGATGGATAGAGAAGATGCGAGACAAGTAGGTAGGTAGGTACTTAGATAGATAGATAATAGATAGATAAATAGATCCTATTCAGCCAGGAAAAAGAAGGAAATCCTGGCATTTGCAACAACATGATTAAACTTGAGGGCACTATGCTAAGTGAAATAAGTCAGATAGAGAACGACATAACATATGATATCACTTCTCGTGGAATCTAAAATGGCCAAACTCACAAAAACAGTAGTTACCAGGAGATTGTGGGACAGGAGAAATGGGGAGATGTGGGTCAAAGGGTACAAACTCCCAGTCGTGAGTAAGTTCTGGGGATGTACAGCATGGTAGTTTTAACTAATCATACTGTACTATATACTTGGAAGTTGCTGAGAGAGTGGATCTCAGGTGTTCTCTCCACAAAGAAATGGTAAAAACATGATGTAATGTAATTGTTTTGTAATATATAAATGAACTGTTACAGGGTGCAGCCAACAGGGGGAACCCCAAGTGAGCATTTAAAATGGGGTCCAGAACTCAAGGTGTCTAGGAGATTTTAGGATGTCTTCACCCCCCGCCCAAGGTGTGGGTTGGGGGAAGGGACAAATGAGGCAGGGCCTTTGAGAGCTGTTTCGCATAGCAATAGCCTTGCAGCTAACCTCTGGCGAGGTCATTTAACATATCTATAGCCTTTGGCTGGTGGCTTAGATATGTTAAATAGCTGTGGCCGTGCTCTGAGCCAGGGGAATGGAAGTAACTACCCCACCAAGGTGTAACTGGGGG